AAATCTGATTTCTTGATTCAATTCAGTTTGATGTTCGGTTTCTGAATCGAAAAATGAAATTAATATTAGGAGTTCTGAAATATCCACCTAGTCCAATTATAGCAATGGTAGCAATAATAATAATAATGATAATAATAATGCTAATTAGGTCGTCATCTCCTATAAAAATATGGTTACAATTGATAAAAATATATTTATAAATTGATACATAACAATCATCGAAAAACGCTGAAGATCACGTGATCAATGTACTTTGTACAAAGCACAACAATATATGTTATTGAATTTCATCAGTTCGAGTTTCCATTGTCTAATTTCATATAAAATGATTGGAAATCCCTGGAAGAACCAATAGTTGAAAGGAATAGCTGAAAATAACAGTTGTATCTGAAGCAAAAACTCCTGAAATGAAATTACAGTGGAATAAAATACAAGTAATAAAAAAGAACAACTAAACAAAAAATTAAAATTAAAAATTAAGAGACTCCAAGCCGACTTGCTTCACGACGTTTCGATTGTTAGTATCCACGATAGTCTTCGGCTGATGATCTCCAAACAAACATCTGTCATTATTTTCGATCGTGAATCAATTTCAGATGATAACGAATTGAAGAACCATAAAAAATTCCTCAACATACGTCCAAGTCAGTGTTGAGAATTCAGTGAATGAGATATTGAGAGCCCTTCATTCACAGTAAATCGTATTATTGTTTCATTTTTCAGAAATACCGTTGGTCTAGGGTTACTGGGAGACTTCAAGTACATTAGTATGGCTGTTGGTTTGGCTCTTCCATTTGTTACTGACGGAATGTTCTGTACACTCATCAGAATGTTATAAATAATAAGAAATCGGGTATGTCTTTCTTTCATTTCAGCTGTTGTATATACTCTCTACCTTAAGTTTCTGAATTTTACCAAATGAGACCTTTTAAAAAAAGACAGTGGCGCCCTTATTTTATCCTTATTTTATTTAACAGAATCGCAGTAATCAATCCACTCCCATATGCCGCCGACGAACAGCTGCCGGAGCTACTTTGTCATGTTTTCTCTTTTGTAAAAAAACAAAACAGGGAGAAGGAATAACAACGTAAAATGAATAGTAGTTCTGAAACAAATACTTTCATATGAACATTTACAGAGTAGAGCAGGCGCTGGTAGTCTGATTGGCTGCATTAATTTGTCACCTGATAATCCTCCTACCGTAGGTTATTCAGCGCATAGAGAAGATCCTAGCAGGCAAATTAACAAAATGTGCACTGGAAGCCTGAGTAATGTAGAGCTGAAAGAATTGGATTTCTGATTCTTCATGCAACTTGCTAAGATGAGTGAAAAGCCCAGCACATACGCAGTTTGCATTCAATACTACGTCTACACTCTCTGCCACCAATAAATTGCCAACATTAGTTTTCTACACAGTTATTCTGCAACTCGTATTCTTTTGAGTAGTCTTATATTCAGATTTTTTAATGATTGACTTGTTGAATTTCATTTTCAGTACGCAACAGTAGCTCCATTGCTATCATTCGGTATATTATACGGTCCATTCCTGGAATCTTTCGGCAATGAAACAAGTGGTACTTCTATGACAACTTCTACATTTGTTGCAGTTTCTTCGCTCACAGGTATGTGGAACTGAAATTGGTTATTATAGCTTCATACGTGTGACAGATAGCACATACTCGGAAATTCGCCAATTACAATTCATTTGACAATTGATATTTCCATATAAAATTATTGAATTGAAATCATAATTTAGAAAACCAAATATATAACCTTCTTTTCCTCAAAAGCCGACTAGTCGCTCGAATTTTTTCTGAAATTACACTCACGTGACGAACATATGGCCGTTTTTTAACAAATTGTCCGGGTTCAAAATTTTTTTATTCCATTCCAGTTTTCATTCAAGAAATTCAAACTAGGAAGGAAAAAATATATACCAGAAAATCCTATGAAAATAAGAAACAAAATAAAAAAATATAAATGCAGCAATACAACATTCATATGATGTGTTATTATTTTATCAATTTTAAGTAAGCTTCACAATTTGTATTTGTCATAACGGTACTGATTTGTAATGTACTGAACTCATTGTTTCCCTTTCTTTAACCTTTATTTTATTGAAAATTATATAACAAAATTATTTCAGTACAGTAGAATTCGGATATAACGACCTTCAAGGGACCGCATATATTATGTCGTACTAACCGGACGACCCACAAAACGGATTAATTTTGTGGTAGTAAATTGTACATTAGTTCTTTAGTCTTTCATTCAGCTGTTCGGATTGCTAATCTATAGATGAATAAAACATTTTATGAAATCACATATGCTTGGTCCATAGGTTTCAACACTGATATCGTGTTTTGAGGCTAAAACACCAATGCTATGCTTTTCAAGTCTGTATTATGGGGATGTGCTCTTGTAGCAGAGGTCTATTAAGGGGTATTCTCCGGTAGCGCTGAAGCTTGAACCACTGTAACAATGCCTTATCCAACTGCTCAAGAGTAGAATTACACGTTTGTATTTCAAAAAATTGGCATCGAACAGCGACTCGATCTTATCTTTATTCTTTCCAATTGTGGATATTGTAGAATGGGATATGCCAAACTCCTTTGCGAAGGCTGCATTTGATTCACCAGCTTGTAATCGGTGTGATATTGCACTTTTTTTCTTCAATTGCAAAACACTTTCGCTTCACATAAATCATTTTGTAGAACTTTATGAACTTACAACAAGTGACAAAGACTTCATACTGAAACCTCTGGCGTAAAATTGGTAGTACCTATCAATAGAGGTTATTGAGAATACTACCTTGTAGTAGTACCTATCAATAGAGGTACCTATGAAGAGGGAGTGCGCCAAGGTATTGGTGCGCAGATTGTGTAAACAAAACATTGCGCGACGTTTAAACCGTCATGAAAAACGGTCGCTATAAGCGGTTGGTCGCTCAAATCGGAGTCGCACTAAACGGTATATTTTCTCAATAACTAAATATGAAACTAAACTTAAGTAAACATTATCGTCACTGTAAACGGATAGTTGTTATAAGCGGAGTCGTTATATATGAATTCTACTGTATATATTTCATTTCATATTTTGAATTATATAATTACATTTCACCTATACATATTCATTATACATATACATTTGATTTTTATATATGGATTGTGCCACAAGTTATTGCACTCATCGCTTTGTCGATAAGGATCAATTCTTAGACAATAAAGCAAAACTCTCCATTTTCAGGATTCATATCAAGTGTCCTCTTACGAAAATATAGCCCAAGAATGACTGGATTGGTAGGAGCTACCTTTTTTTCTCTTGGATACTTCTTAGAAATTTTTGGACACAGTTTACTTCATATGATCATATTCTATGGATTTTTCAAAGGTAATGCCATTCGAAACGGAACGATTCCTTGCATTTGTATGAGTTTTTAAGTTATTCTTATCCAAAACTTTGAACAGATTAACGATAATATCACTATCACCAACATGCATATGTATCTTGTGATGCACTGTTTGGAACCTTTGGTGTTTTAAAAATATGTTTCTCCGTTAATCAGCTGTCTCTACGGCAACCCTCAGAACTCGAAACTTGTGCGAGCTGAGCACTAACGAAGTATTATCTTTTAATGTGTGAAACCTAACACGGGTTGGACGATAGCAAGTGAAAATCGGTCGTTCAGCCTGCGGCTTAGACCACTGACTAACACGGCGGTCGTTTTGAGTGAGTGAACAAAGCACTCACTTCGAACCGATCGGCTACCAACCGACTGACCAACACATAAACCGTTATTTCAACCTCAAAACGTGTTTGAATCACCAAGTGATCATCCCCAAGAGGAAGATTAAACAGTTCAATCTTCCTTTTGAAATATCTCAGTCTTGTTATAATGGTTGCCTATTAGTGAATGCTACTAAGGCACTAAAAAGCCACGTATATCTGTGTCTGTATATCTTTGTGTCCATTCAGCATATTCGTAGAATGCTATCAATGAAGAAAACATATCGATTATCTCAAATTCGTAGAAAACATAATAACCAACTAGATTAGTTCAGATATATTGTATGAAGATATCAATATAGTCGTAAGATTTGAATTTAGTCATCTCCTGATGCTTACATGAATAGAGAAAGATTGTTTTTAATATATTCATTTAACACCACAAGTTACAATTCTATCGATCAACTCTGAATCCAAACTAACTTGTGAATTATTTTCACATGTGCTTGTCAAACCAGACAAGTTTGGGAACTTATCTACCTGAAGACCACAGCGGAAAATTATTTCAATATTTTGACACCATTGTATATGTAGGTGTTTCAGATGAATGAAACCATATTGTGAAACATGTCAAGTCACAAGCTACATTGTTTATCTCAGTAATATCGGCTAACCCTCATCACTCTTTCTGTCAGGTGACAGGTTGATGTACCTAAGTAAAGCACGAATATGTCATGTTGCTTTTGGTGCTGACAACCATAAAAGTCAAGTAGGCTAGACTTTCATTAGAGTATGTATTCTTTCAACAGGTCTTTTACCAATCTCCATGGAAAAATTCGATAACATCTAATATACGCACTTTCTGTGGATCAGACAACATGGCCTACTTTGACGATTTGCCGAAGTCCTTAAACTTGACTTTACTACAAAAATAGTTGAAAAGGATGAAACTTCCACTTCCTATTTTTAAGTGTCCATCTTCATATTTCATTTAGGTTTCATTACATGTTCAATTGAAAGTATTAGTATTGATCCACTTAGTCAAGATGAAAATAAATAAAAACTAATATCCATGATAATATGATTGATGAATATATGAATTTCACTAAATGAATGCATGGGAAATTAATAGTTGATTCAGGAAATGAAAATCAAAAAACGATTGAAAAAGTTGAGTCTTTCATGACTTGGGTAGTTGAAAAATGTCCTTCTGGAACATATCTGAAATGTTACTTCCCAAGTTCTTTTCCTGTGGTCTTCCTTTATTTGTATGAATGTCATGCTCAGAGATGAAAATAACCTCCTCAAACGTTTTCTTCAACTACTTCAGGCTATTCAGCCTCAGATTCCCTCTTATTACTGCAACGATTATCGAATTTTCAGGATTTGGGTATGGTCTACTGATCCCGTCATGGTTGACAATCATGAACAGTTACTTCGACAAGAAGCACAACTTGATGATGGGCGTTACTCAGACTACGATATCTGTTGGAACAATAGTGAGCCCACCAGTTGTTGCTTATCTAATGGAGGGTTTGGGGTTCAAAAAAACGTTGATGGTTCTAGGAGGATTATCCCTACTCAATTTTCCTGCTGTTGCTACGTTTCGTCCTGTGAGACGGTGCTTGGAGCAACAATTGCCGGTAGCATTAGAAAATATAGGTAAGGAAACATTTGGATATTTTTTTGTTTCTCGATGTTTTTGGTGTTTTACCATCCACAACCTGGAAGAGAAACGGAAATTCCAGCCCTAACCTTTTCGCGGATTTATCAGATCTGAATCAAATAAACTCCCACTTCACAAATATTTTTCATCCTGCAAAATCTGATCATGAAACACTCATTGAAAGATATACTCAGACCTATAATGGACCCACTTTGAATTTTCGCACAGTGACACCACTCCAGACTCAACAATACATCAGTGGTATGAAAAGTAACTGTGCTGGATCTGACAGCATCTCTCTCATAATGCTGAAGTATATTAAAATCATCTTATCAACCACATAACACACATATTCAATTTCTCTATAGAAAAAAATCATTTTCCTTCTGCATGGAAACATGCATATGTACTCCCTTTGCCAAAATGTGAAAATCCAACTGAATTATCTCGTTTGAGGCCAATTAGCAAACTGCTCATCATATCTGAGGTGTTCGAGCGGATTTTGAAAGATCAAATTGATTCTTTTGTATACAATAATGATTTAATAACAAACATCACCCAAGATTCATTCAAAGCAGCTGATAATAATGAAGTAACTGCCATTGTACTCTTGGACTACAGTAAAGCATTCGATACATCAGACCACAATATTTATTCTGTGCAGGAAAATGTCACTGCTCGGATTTAGTGAAGGGACTGTAGATCTATTGAAAATTCAACTCAGAAATCGGACTCAGTCAGTATGTCTGAATGGAAAGTGTTCTAGCGTTTTACCTTTTGACTATGGAGTACCTCACGGCTCTATCTTTGGTCCCATTCTGTTCTCTCTATATATATCTGACTTCCATAACATAATTGATCATTGCACAGTTCGTCATTATGCAGATGCAGTTAATGGATCTATATATAGCTCATAACCTGAAATTGAATTCTGAAAAATCTCAGCTGAGACTTTTTGACCCGAAACACAAAAGGTGGGAAATTGAAGGAAGAATTGAAATCCAACTTGGACAAGACTTACTACAAATAACTACAGAAAGCAAGAACTTGGGTTTGTGGCTAGATGCTGATGTGAGATGTCACAAACATATAAATTCACTTTGTCGTAGCAAGTACAATATCTTACGCCGAATCTATCAAAGTAGAGATATTATGACTTCCAAATTGAAGTTGAAACTTTGCGAAACCCTCATATTGTCTAGATTAGCATATTGTGATATAATCTACGGGCCTGCTTTGATACAAATTGATGTGAACCGTTTACAAAAATACAAAACAATTACATTCGTCTTTCTTATGGTGTAAGAAAATTCGACCATATATACCCTGAGTTTGAGGAGTCACGTTGGTTACCGATTGCTAAAACCTGTCAGTTCCACCTACTCGTCAATACACATAAATTCCTCATTTACAAAAAGCCAAATTATATTTATGAAAGATATAAAACTTTCAAATCACAGAGGATGAGAAACCGTCACACTTTTATTATTCCAAAACACTCGACAGCCTGTTTTTCTCGTAGTTTTATTTACAACTCTATCAAACAATATAACGCTCTGCCCTGTGAATTTAGACACTAATCCATATATAATTTCAAGGAAAAGTTGAAAAAATATTTGAAGTCTTCTGGATAGGTTATAAACAATGTATGTCATTTATTATTATTATTATATACAAGTTCTGGGCTCAAGAAACAGTGAGAAATATTGAATTCCTCGCAAAACATACCGTTTGGAGAATATTGAAAACTGAACAATGAATAAATGATTTGACTTTGAATTATGATATAAAATGCTTTCATTCATTATTAAGCTATCCAACAGCTCATTTCAAGTCTTTTCAAGGCTGGTGGGAGCTGTCTGGGTGCACTCAAGGAGCTAAGTACCTAGAATAGGGTCACTCTAGCTTGGGTACCCGGACATGATCGTCACAAGGGCAATGAGGAGGCCGATGTTCTAGCCAGTAAAGGCACATCCAATGCTATGGTCGGCCCAGAACGCTTCTGCGGAGTAGCGAAAGCATGTATAAAGACATCTATTAATTCATGGATGCAGGTCGAATCGGTAGATTAGTGGAATAAGCTCCCAGGAATGACACAGGCGAAAGAGTTCATTGTGAAATCATCGCCCAGTTTCACCGAAGACCTACTAATCCACAAACGTAAGGTTGTAAGAGTAGTGGTGGGTCTACTAACGGGGCATAGCTGACTCAGGAAACATATGATCAACATGGATTTGACAGAAGAAGCCCAATGCAGGTTCTGTCAAAAAGAAGAAGAAACCGCGCTGCATGTGCTCTGAATGCGAAGCGATAGCAAGGCTGACACACGCAAGGTGCGGTGAAGAGAAACCAGAAGCTGCCAGCTATATGAAGGGGTCAGTGTCAAGGCTATGGAGTCTCATCGAAGGGATCAAGCTAGACAATGAGCTCTAACAACCAAGAAGCATCACAATAGATCTGAGAAGGTCGCAGTGAATCAGACCATGGGCTAGCTCCCCTATAAACTAATCTAGTCTAATCCAACATGGTAAGGGATACAACTTCTTGACTATTTAGGAATTCAATGTTTCTTCGTAACACCTGAGCCACTGTATAACTTTATATGTTGTTAATCATATTTCTCCAGTTATGAATAAATTTGTTAACTCAACGTATTGGAATGTAACAAAGTTTTCCATTTTTCATTACTATAGAAGTTGTTCTATACCTAATAACTCATTTATTGAATAAGAAATTACAAAAATGCGAAGTTGAAAAAAATTACAAAATTGAAGAAACTAAGAGTAAAACTTTCCCTCGGTTATCTTAAAGGCGCGATTTTGTTCCATCCTTTACATAAAAGAGGACGTATGCTTCTCCACTCACAAGCGACTTTGTGCAGTATGCTGTATAATGTCCTCTGTTAGTAGTCCCACTGTGATTTAAAAGTGCATATAGATTATAACAAGTAGCCACATTTTCTCCTGCAAAATTGTCCATATCCAATCCTTCTAGAGGAAATTCGATGACATCATTCAATTTGCCTCTATTTTCCGTTGGAGAGAATCTTTTTAAATGTATTACTAAAATATAGGGAAACTTGTGGATTGATAGGGACTTTATGCATTTTCTCCTTTCCCTGCATTTCGAACACGTCGGTTTTTCAATTCCATCCAAAGTTTCTTCTCTTGTAAAATAATCTAAGCATTGCCACAAACTCAATTGGTCGGTTTTTTGTGGTATGGAGAGAGACAAATCCCAGAAAGGATCAAATGTTACTGTTCTTGCATTCTCACCTTTCTTCATTTTGATATACATGATTTCAGATACAAACTCTGTTGCATCATCTCGGCATTCAGAAGGAGATTTATTGAGGAGAATCAGTTCAGAAAATGGAGAAGACATTCACAACCGGATTTTAATACAATCCAAGAAACCTACCTCACATATTTTTAAACACTGGATATTGTAAGTGAAACATCCATTTTATCAAAAGTTATTTTTTCATCTACATATTTCAATAATACCACAACCAAATACCTAATCACAAAAAAAACAAAATACGTTTCAAAAACATGAAATTGTTGAAAAATTCCACAATCATTTTCATCGTGTAACTACAATACGTTCTATAATGAATGAAAATGAGACTCAAACTGCATTTAGAAGATATACAAATATCCACTTCTCCTAACATCCCTACATGCTGGGATCTGGCTTATGCCTACCGGAAATCAAATACTATCCTCCAGCTCACACCATGATGGATATTGAAAACTATCAGTGCATTTGTGCAAGTTTTTTCCCAGAGAAAACTCTTGCAGATGCTTCTTCTTCCTGCACCAGCAGAACCTCAATAATATCAATCGGGTGATCACCTACAAACCGTTTCGAGAAATTATCTATTGATACCAACCAAGACTGTATTTCGAACGCGACTGATTTCATCCACCATAATCAACCCCTCACCCCCGAGATTGAGTGTCCCACATTGTTGCACTATCTAGTCTGCGAATGTTTCTATATCTGCAACTTGACACTGGTTTGAAGTCAGCCTCTGGTACTTGAATGCCTCTTTGTCTATTCTGTTATGCTTTCCTGACTCTATTGTGTATAGTTTTTGTATGGTGGTCCAATGTGCCCTACTGGTAATAAGTGTATTGTGTGTATGTCTCGTGTGAAATGTCGGGTTTCGTCTGTGTATATAGGATTTTCGGAACCATCGGATACAGACTTTCGGAGCGGGACTGTGGTTTAGCTCCGTTGGTCTCCTGTGCTTATCCTAGGTGGTATCGCAGCGCTTGCTTGAGGTATGTACGAATTTGGGCGTAGTTCTTCAGAACAACATTCTATACTGGCTGATAAGATTCATGTCTCTGTGGATATATCAGTTGGGTATGAATCTTGGAGCGTTGATGGCCATCCGTAGACAAACGTTAGATATGGAGTTTGTATATTCCTGAGCACTAACCTCAAGCAGTAGAGGCATACAGTATGGTGAAAATTGGGATTGTTTTGATCAAGAGCAGTTTCATTTGGAGATCTATACCTCTCCTAAGTCCCATGATGGGATAAAGGTAATACGGACGGATTTCTTATGAGATCTGAATATTAATCACCTGTCGAGGAAGACCTCTATATATCTTTCATCGTTCGTCTATGGAATCTCGTTTAAAGTCAATGATATTCCAGAGTATTTCTTCCTCTTCTTAAGTTGGAGCGAACAACAAAATGTCACTCCATCTAGTGGACGAGGTACTAACCAACTGCATATCCGAGATTTTTTAGTGTTAGGAAGGCAAAGCTGCTTTTTTGAGTTTGTTACATGTATTACCTATTTGTTCGATCCACGTTATGTTATTATCGAGATGTATGCCTAAGAATTTTGTTGAGCTTGATAATTCATGTTGATTGTTGTTTATATTCAGATTGACAAGGTTTGGTTTATTACTGCGTGCACTGTTGAATTGAATGAACATAGTTTTAGTAGGTTCAGCACAAGATGGTTTCTTGTACACCATTCATAGAATTGGTTCACTACTGAGGTCACTTTTTCATTAAGAGTACTCAGCGAAGAGCCCGTCACTATTACTGTCGTATCGTTTGCATACATGAACACCTTTCCCTCTTCAATGAAGTCAGGTAGGTCATTTATGTACAACAGAAATAAGAGTGGTCCTAAGATACTCCCTTGAGGGGTTCCAATACCTACATTATATATTGGCTTGAGAGATCATTCCCTATTTTCACATATAATTGCCTTTCCGTTACATAGGAAATCAACCAGTCTGTCATAGGGCCCCGCAATCCTGAACGTTCCAGTTTTCTTTCGAGTATGTTTGGGTTCAGCGTATCGAAAGCCCGCGTTAAATCAAAGAATATACCGAGAACATATTCACCATTATCAAGACTGCTATATATATATACTGGGTGACCTCAGTTGTTGCAGTTTGGGTTGATAACCCTTTTCTAATATCCACTTCTCCTAACATCCCTACATGGTAGGATCTGGCTTATGCCTACCGGAAATATACCACCCTCCAGCTCACACCATGATGGATATTGAGAGCTATCTGTGCATGTGTGTAAGTTTTTTCCCAGAGAAAACTCTTGCAGATGCTTCTTCTTCCTGCACCAGCAGAACCTCAATAATATCAATCGGGTGATCACCTATAAACCGTTTCGAGAAATAATCTGTTGATACCAACCAATACTGCAGCGTATTTCGAACTCGACTGATTTCATCCACCATAATAACTAACCTAACCTAACCTAACCCCCGAGGTTGAGTGTCCCACATTGTTGTCTAGTCTGCGAATGTTTATATATCTGCAGCTTGACACTGATTTGAAGTCAGCCTCTGGTACTTGAATGCCTCTTTGTCTATTCTGTTACGCTTTCCTGACTCTACTGTGTATAGTTTTTGTATGGTGGTCCAATGTGCCCTACTGGTAATAAGTGTATTGTGTGTATGTCTCGTGTGAAATGTCGGGATTCGTCTGTGTATATAGAATTTTCGGAACCATCGGATACAGACTTTCGGAGCGGGACTGTGGTTCAGCTCCGTTGGTCTCTTGTGCTTATCCCTCGTGGTATCGCAGCGCTTGCTTGAGCGCAGTTTCTCAGGGCAACATTCTATACTGGGTGATGAGATCCATGTCTCTGTGGATATATCAGTTGGGTATGAATCTTGGAGCGTTGATGGCCATCCGTAGGCAGACGTTAGATATGGAGTCTGTATGTTCCTGAGCACTAACCTCAAGCAGTAGAGGTATACAGTATGGTGGAATTCAATATTGTCTTGATCAGGAGCAGTTTCATTGGAAATCCATATTTCTCCTAAGTTCCATGATGGGATAAAAGTAATATGGACGGATTTTCTATGAGATCTGAAAATGGATCGCCTGTCGAAGGAAGACCTCTTTCACCGTTCGTCTATGGAATCTCTTCTCGTCGAGAAATAAATATTCTTCAGGCTGCTTTATCCACTGGGTGGAAAGTATCGTCCGTCTCTTTTTGGGGTTCATGCTGATCTTTGCATGTGACCTGTAACCAGCTGGTGATTGGTGGAAATATAGCTATGCAGTGTCGTCCGCGTAGAGAGCCCATTTGTTCAAATTGTCCTCTGGACTACGTACATCTACTGTGTAAACCGATAAGAGGTGAGATGGAAGAAATGCGCCTTTCAGGCCTTCTGCTTCCTGGAGTCACCTGGCGGAGAGTTTCAATCACACCCAGTACTGGCAATGTCTGTCAGATGAAAATTAATCGATTCAACATAGCATTGTTCCACTATGAGCAAAATCAGACATTTTGGCCACGAGTCCATAGTGAAAAACTGTCAAATACCTTGGAGACATCGAGGAATATTGTTCCTATATGGTATCATTTGCTAAGATTGAAACCTTGAAATCCGTGCTGGATTTGGACTGATTCATTTCGAAAAGATAAGCGAAACGCTTCTGCTCTCTTTTGAAGTGAAAATTATTTTCGAGCAAATCTGGTTTCTTGATTCATTTCAGTTTGACGTTCGGTTTCCGAATTAAAAAATGAAATGAATATTGAGAGGTTTGAAATATCCAACTCGTCCAAATATAAATTTGCTCGACTGTATCTAAAGCTGCGTATTGATTTTTACCAATCGACCCGTATCGTAACTGCGAACATCAGTGACGTAACTGTAACGTGTTCGAGTTATGTTTGTGATACATTACGTTACTGTAACGTAACACTTTGATATCCGTACTCAAGAGGTCATCTCGCGAAGAACTGAACATATACGGTGTTATATGAAGGCCATTGGCGTCTTATAGTTTCACAAGAAACTATCATGCGATTACACAGTTTGAATTGGTGTGCAGTGAAAGAATGTTTTGAAATGACTCCAGACGCATGATGAATCTGAACCTGAAAAAATCTTGTGAAGATGAAAATTGGTTAATTTATGATGGATGAACTCGAAAACTGATTTAGATTATTATTCTGATTTAGAAAATTATTCATTCTTCCTAGAGAAAACTTCTTTCTCAGCGAGTAACCTGAAATGGATTTCATTTGAAAAAAATATAGAGATCTCAAAGAAGATTGCAGAAGTTTCACCCAAGATACCAGACATTTACCCAACTGCTCTCATTCCACGCTCTCCACATGGTGGCAATAATAATAATGATGATAATAATAATGCTAATAAGGTCTACATCTCCTATGAAAATATGGTTACAATTGATAGAAATATATTTATGAATTGATACATAATAATCATGGGAAAACGCTGAAGATCAGGTACTTCGTGCAAAGCACAACAATATCTGTTATTGAATTTCATCAGTTCGGGTTTCCATTGTCTAATATCATATAAAATGATTTGAAATCCCTGGAAGAACCAATACAAATGTATTGAAAGGAATAGCTGAAAATAACGGTTATATCTGAAGCAAAAAACCCTGAAATGAAATTACAGTGGAATAATATACAAGTAATAAAAATAGAACAATTAAACAAAAAATTAAAGATTAAGAGATTCCAAGCCAAGTTGCTTCACAACGTTTCGATTGTTAGTATCCACAATAGTCTTCGGCTGATGATCTCCAAACAAACATCTGTCATTATTTCCGATCGTGAATCAATTTCAAATGATAACGAATTGAAGAACTATTAAAAATTCCTCAACATACGTCCTAGTCAGTGTTGGTTTATGAAATTCAGTGAATGAGATATTGAGAGCTCTTCATTCACAGCAAATCGTATTATTGTTTCATTTTTCAGAAATATCGTTGGTCTAGGGTTATTGGGAGACTTCAAGTACATTAGTATGGCTGTTGGTTTGGCTCTTCCATTTGTTACTGACGGAATGTTCTGTACACTCATCAGAATGTTCCTACATGATGTAAATTTCGAAATTTCCGAAATAGCCCTGATGATGATGGTATACTTTTGTTTCGATGTTATGGCAAAAATAACTTATTCAG